CCCATGAGTTAGAGGTTGCTGTGAGCTATGATGTTGCCAGAACACTACCCAGGGCACAGAGTGAGACTCTCAGGAAAAACAAAAGTGGCAACTATGCCTATGCCTGATACAGAGTTTTTATATTCCCTATGGCCATAACTAACCACTCTTGACACTTTAAGATACTTTTTAATCCATCTGCCCTAGCAGCTTGGTTACTTTTTTACTTTGTTGCAAGTTGCATTTATAAGCATGGAATTTGTGCAAAGGTCCTAGCTACTCGGGAGGTTGATGAAAACATTATGGTAAGTAAACAAAGCCAGACCCAAAAAGCCACGTACTGTATGATTCCATTTTTATGAAATGTCCAGAAAAGGCAAATCTGTAGAAAAAGAAGGCTCAGTAATAGTTGCCAGATGAGGTGGGGAGAAAGGGAAGAGGAAAGTGTTTCCTCTTGGGGGTGATGAAAGGTTTTGGAAGAAGTGGTGATAGTTGCATGACTTTGTGAACACACTGAAAACACTTTTGAGTTGTACATGTCAGTATAGTTAGAACAGTGAGCATTATGTGAATTTTATCTCAGTAAAAACATTTTAAAACATTTAGCAAATTTTTTTAGTATAAGGTCTTGATTTCTATTTCCCTGTTCTACTACAAGTGGAAGAGAACGTGTATTTACCAAGTAATAATTCCTTCAGTGAAATGAGAACTAAGAACAATGAAAGGAAACTCAGCTAAGGCAGCTGACTTCTTTAAAGAAGGTCAAAATCTAAGTCTCATTTTTCAAACCAGTGTAGGTAGTTTGTGCTGTTATCCATATTTTGCAGCTAGGAGATTAAGGGTGAGTCAACCAGCAGTGACTCAGATGAGTAATCTGCAGCAACAGGCCACACTGCCTCCATATCTGATTCTCATGTTCAAAGTGTGAGCATTTTTAATTGTGTTGTTCATGCTTAAATACTTCTCAAACCTTTTTCAACTAATTGGAGTAACTTAAGACTCTCAGATAGGAACATCAGGGAGCATAAACCTTATAGGTAAGAATCTTGTTAGCTGTTAGTAACAGTTAAGAACGTTCTGGTGTTAGGTCCTGTTGGACAAAATTCTGAAGAAGACGTTTCAGGTATCTATCCCTTAGCATTGCCCTGAATGTCTCCATTTTTGTTTTTTAATAATATAGATTTCATTGCTAGTTTTTTAATAATATATACTTCATTGCTAGTGGGATGGCAAACTAATACAGCCTTTTTGAAAAGAAGTATGAAGAATCCTCAAAGAACTAAAAGTAGGCCTTCCATTTGATCCTGCAATTCCATTACTAGGTATCTACCCAGAAGAACAAAATCATTTTACCACAAAGACATTTGCACCAGAATGTTTATTGTGGATTAATTAATAATTGCCAAGTCATGGAAGCAACTCAAGTGCCCATCAACCAATGAATGGATAAAAAAACAGCATACAATGGAATACTATTCAGCCATTAAAAAAAGATGTAAAAGATTTACCTAGATGGAGTTGAAACACATTCTTCTTAATAAAGTATTGCAAGAATGGAAAAATAGATCTGAGCACAGTGGCTCACACCTGTAATCCTAGCACTCTTGGAGGCCAAAGAGGGATTGCCTATGCTCACAGGTTCAAGACCCCATCTCTAAAAATAGCTGTGCATTGTGTGGTGCCTGTAGTCCCAACTACTCAGGAGGCTGGGGCATAAGAATGGCTGGAGCCCAGGAGTTTGAGGTTGATGTTAATAACCTCAGGTATCTATTCCTTAGCATTGCCCTGAATGTCTCCATTTTTGTTTTTTAATAATATAGACTTCATTGCTAGTGGGGTGGCAAACTAATACAGCCTTTTAGAAGAGAAGTATGGAGAATCCTCAAAGAACTAAAAGTGGGGTGGGGGGGCACAGCGGCAAGATGGCAGACTGCAGCCAGCTTTCCACAGAGGCCCCCATCCAGAAGGAGACTTAAAAGACAGAAGTTTAGCAAGTAAGCCAATGGTTTGGAGCTGAGCCAAAAGAGGTTGAAGAAGTGTACATCAACCCTGTTGAGGCGAGCTAGAACCCCAAGGATACAAAAAAAAAGGTACAAAATCCATCGCCAAGCGGACAGGAGTCTCCTCCCCCACAAGAAGGGCTCTCAGAATACTCCATACAAACAAGCAAGCAGAGTTCAAACATCCTCCCATTCTATCCCATGGGAGAGGCCCTCTAAAACCTGGACCTCCTATCCCTACTAGGGTGCCATGGCACTCTCTTGCTAGGCATAAAACTGTATATATTCTCTACCTGCAATTCTGAACTCCCAGCACTCCCCTCCACTCTCACCCCGAAATCTGGAAGCCTGTCCCCCATGGAGTCCAGATTTGGGGGCATTTTCTTGAGAGGTATGGATGGGGCAGGGGCTATTGCTGGTCCGTGCTGATTCTGTAGCACGGGAGTAAGGAGAGGACGGTCAGCTGAGAGGGAACCATATAGGAGTGGCGGTGCCCCAAGGCCCAAAACAGCAGTGGCAGCGGCGGCAGAAACAAGGTTCACACCCCTGGGCTATTCCAGACAGACACGCCCTGTCTGTCTGGGCAACCAGTGGAAGCTGGGCACCTTCTCTGGTGGCAGCCACCACAGAACAGATCATTAATAAAGGGAAGGGCTGAGGTGGTAGCAGCCTGGGCGGAGCGCAGGGACTAGAATACTGAGCAGACCCTGCAGACTCCCAGGGTGGGGCTAAGCCAGAGGACTGCTTTACTGAGCCTAAGACACACCTGGCCCTCAGGGGATCATAGCTGAAATAAGGTGGGCAGGCAGAGGCTGGAACTGATGGCTAAGTGTGTACTCTAACTGCTTGCCACTGCCTAGGGCTCAGTCGCGGTTTTTGTCAACTTAAGCAGCGTGTGATCCCTATAGCTGGGACAGAAACAAATTCTGCAAAGCTGTTCTGTCCTTTTCTGCCAGCAACAACAATCAGGGCTGGGGCTGGAACTGAGTGAACCGCCCCAGCCTCCATTAAGCACCCGAAGTTGTCAGGCCTCACCTCCCCCTGCTAGATAGTGGCAGAGAGCGGCGGCCTGGTTCAGGACACATAGATCTCCCTGTGACTCAGGCAGTGGTAAACCCCTGGAGCATCTGCTCATTGGAGGGAACTGGGTCACAACCCTGTGGGGGTTACCAGTAACTGGGTGTGACAGAGGTGCAAGTTGGGGAAGGAGGCATTAACCTTCCCAGATTAATTTATTTGCTGGGTGGGTCCTTCTGACCTCATGGAGCACCAGAGTGAGTCATACTTGAGCTGCCAGCAGACCCTTGCTATCTAGTTGCTGGAGACCTTTAGAACTCTCCCACCTGAGACTGGTACTGACTGGAATAATTGATTTGGACCTCTCAAACTGGGCCAATCGCCCAAGGATGATCCAAAGTGGTACCCTGGGTGTGTGTTGTGGGAAGACTTGATTTTCCTCTTCCAATTGTTGCCTGTAGGGGGCGGGGTGACTTAATGGCTGGTATTTCTCCACAGCTGAGACTTCAACCCAGAGTAACTGATTCACTAGGGTAAAACAGAGACCAGCTGAAAACAAGACAGAGCCACTTAGCCCCCATCACACCAAGCAGGCCCCTAGTTTCTCAGGCTGTAGCACTGTACAGGTTCTTGGCATAGCTGTAGAGGAAAAGATACAGACACCAGTCCCAGCTTTGGGGTAAAGGGCTAGTTAATCACTACCCCTGGAGCCTCAAACCCAAATTCTCCTTATCTGCTC